ATTAGAAAAAGGTTTTCCACTGGGGAGGTCGTGGCCCATGGGAGTGGTGGTTGCCCCAGCCCTGGCAGTGTTCAAGACCAGGTTGGATGAGGCCTTGAGCAACCTGATCTAGTGAGGAGGTGTCCCTGCCCATGGCAGGGATGGTTGAGACTAGGTGATCTGTCAGGTCTATTCCAACCCTTAAATTCTATGATTCTACGAAAATGTTCAAGGCCAGATTGGGTGGGTTTTGGACCAACCTGGTCTAGTTGAAGGTCTCACTGTCCATGGCAGGGGGGTTAGAACTAGATGGCCCTTAAGGTCCCTTCCCACCCAAACCATTGTAGGATTTTATTCTATGATTCTATAATTGAGGTCAATGCTAATATATGCTCACCTGGGACTTCATACAGATGGCAAAAATAAGAAATAAGCTAAAGAAGTTGCGTCTCAAAAGTCACCTGTTGTTCATGCCATATTTATTTATTTCACTTTTTTTTTATTTTGGGTTGGTTTTCTGTTTGTGGTTTTGAGGATCGTTTTATGTTGTCGCTTTGTTTTGTTTTGCTTTGCTTCTGCTTTGTTCTTCCTGTAGCTGGAGGATGTTGGTGACATAATTGAAAAGATTCGCATAGGACACAATGGTAGTGGAGTGAACTCCGGATGGCATTTGGACCATGTGACAATTCGGAGGCTGTTGCCAAGTGGGAAGGTAGGCCGTGAATACCAGCACTCTGCAATATGTTTCCATGAGCAGCCACTTCCACTTCCAAAAGCTCATCCTCTGTATACAAAGCGTGACTAACACTGAAAAATTACTCCCTCTAGAGCAATGCACACTAAATGAACTTGCTGTAGCTTGGAGATCTGGAGACAGCAAACATGTATTATTATGTTTTATTCTTCAAATATTGATGATAAGGATCTTCAGTCATTGCTTTCTTAAAGCTTCTTATTTTCATGTGTCATTCTGTTTTGAGGAATCAGAGGCAAGGGAGTGGAAAGTGAGTGTACTGTTTTAAAATAGAAGTATTGTTGCTAAACATGGACAAGAAATAATTAAATCACTCCCTTAATTCTGGAAGAATAAATGCAGGGAGCCAGTATAATTAAATGCAGTGCAAGTCCCTCAGTCACTCACATGAAAAAGATCAGGTTAGATCCCAGGATTTTTTGTTGCTCATGTCAACAGAATTAAGACAGTGCGGTCAAATTGGTCACCTTGAGCTTGTCCACATAAGAAACTGTTCCTTGGCTGTGCTTTCAGATGCTGGCTATAGGAACAGGAATGAAATTCAAAAGAAAATCACCTCTTCAGGGCCAGTCCAGAACTGGAGCGCGAGCTGTGCTTGCCAGCAAGCTCTCTCCTCTTGTCCTATCTCCCCTTATTCCAAAGAGATGTCAGCTTTTATCTCCGTCTCAGGTCTGCCCCCTCCTCAAGTGACTTCTAATACGAAGTTTTGGTGTAAACACGGCTCATTCAGTCATGGTGGGCCTGCTTCTCATCTTGTTTCCTCTTCTGAAATTTCCAGAACATGTTTTGTTCTGTTTGCTACACAATCAACTCAAAGGTCTGCCTTGAACATTCATCATCATAGAATCATGGAATCATTTAGGCTGGAAAAGCCCTCTAAGACCATTGAGTCCAACTGTTATCCCATCACTGCCAAGACTACCACTAACCCATATCCCCAAGTGCCAGATCTACATGGCTTTTAAAAAACCTCCAGGGATGGTGACACCACTGCCCTGGGCAACCTGTGCCAGCACTCAAACTACTCTTTCAGAGAGGAGATTTTCCCTAATATCCAATATAAACCTCCTCTGGTGCAACATGAGGTTGCTTCCTCTTGTCCTGTTGCTGGTTACCTGGGAGAAGAGACCAATCCCCACCTGGCTATGACCTTCTATCAAGCAGTTGCAGGAAGCAGAAAGGTCCTCCCTGAGCCTCATTTTCTATCATCTTTACAAGCTTCTTTACAAGCCAATACCCTCAGATTGTTACTCATGATCACCTTTTTGCCAGTCCGTTATTTTCAGACCCTCAGTATATTGCCTAACCCTTGACTTGTACAGCTTCATTAGGTTAATGGACAAGTTTATATTGTTTTCAGAGATGTTATTGGTCATAGACTAGGGAAGATTCAGAGGGGTATGTGCAAATGTGCGGAAACCAAGGGAAAAAAAGATTCTTGGGCTACCTCTTTCTATATTTACTATAAAGTGAGCATTTTGGGAAGTGCCTGAAAGCTCCATGTTGGGTGCTCTTCCATTAGCCCAGAAATCGTCTTGAGGCTGTACCCCCTGCAGTCATTGCAGCAGTTTTGAAGACAAGGTAGAGGGTGAGAAACCTGAAGGTGGAGGAAGGGAGGAAGACCCTGAACAGCTTAGAAAGAAAGAAATTTACAATTCTGCTGATCTTTTGATTATGACATGGGGAAAAAGGGAGAAAGCAGAGCACTGCATGATTCCACTGATCAGCTGCAGGATATTACAACCTGCCACAGGATAGCAATATGCTGCCAACACTTCTAAAAGCTGTGCTACCTGATTAGACTGTTAAGATGTGTCTAGATGTATCTGTAATGCTGAAAAAGAAAAATGAGGTCAGTAACTTTTCAGATTAAATTCAAAGCACTTGGGTAGGAAACTAGGATTGTTGCATGCTGAAAAAACTCCGTGTTGGCATGCCAGTTATATTTGGTAATTATATTTCATTTGTTACAACTTGGAGAAGAGAAAAGCACTGACTTTTAGCACAGTATAAGCTGAGACCCAGACTCAGACGCTAATGAAACAAATTCTGTTCAAGGCTGCAAGAGGATTTTACCGTGAGTAACATAGATCAGTGCACTCTACATCACTTAAATATTAATGCAGTCACTAACAAGAAAACTCCAGTAAAAACTGTGGCAATGACATAGTGATTAATGATAATGATTCAATTAACTCTTACAGTAACTGCATATTATGTCCACTGTGCAGGCACTTGGGTCCCTAGATATCCTATTAGCAAATAAACAGTGTTCACAGCAATGGTACATACAGCCAACAGTATGAATGTTTAGAAGCAGTTATAAGCTTCAGTGAGAGATGTCGCATCACTCTTGTGAAGTGGGATCTCTACTGGGAGGAGAGAGTTTCAGCACTGAAACATCATTCTGGAAAGCCCTCTCTTCCCAGTCTATAGCTGAGGAGATAAGCACTGTTAGTTTGCTCAGCATACAGTGAGATAGTACAGGTTAAGTGATCAGACAGCTAGTACAGAAATGAGGAGGCATAAATTGTGGCCAATCATTAGGTGCTGTATTCTGCCTGTACAGCAAAAATAGCAGTTGGAAGTAAAAGATTTGAAATTACCCGAAACGTTGCTGATTTTCTTTGACATAATTTTGTATGTCATGCTCCAAACCTCCTTATAGAGTTAAACATTGCAAGTCTGGGGTTAACCAGCAACACCACAGGAAGAGAAATTGTATTTTATTGACAGAAGAAGATTTAGGCTGTGTGAGCTCAAAAGGTTATTCTGCTACAGACTCAAGACACTCAGTCACAGAAGCTCCTTGGAGGAGTTCAGCTACTGCAGACCAACTTCTCTGGGATCTGTGACCTGTTCATTCCAGGTTAGCTGTGTCTGGAACAATACTCTGATCTTACATGCACAATGTGTTCCTCCCTAGTGCTACTGTCAGGCAGGGCAGGATCTGGCAGCTCCAGGCAGTACAGCACTGTAGTACACAGTAATAACAATATTTGAGATTGCTACAGTGAGAGCTATTCCATTCTCCCACTGTATATTATTATTTTAACATGTAACTTGTAAAAGTAGTGAAGAAAGGATCGTATATTGGCTAGATAAGTAATCACAACTGAGTAATTAGGGTGGAAATTGTTCATAAAGGGCAACTGCAAGAGAGCTGGAGACGAACTTTGACAAGGGCCTGGAGTGACAGGGCAAGGGGGAATGGATTCAAACTGGCCAGAGGGCAGGTTTAGGTTGGATACTGGTGAGAAATTGTTGGCTGTGAGAGTGGTGAGGCACTGGTACAAGTTGCCCAGATCACCTGTGGCTGTCCCATCCCTGGAAGTGTTGAGGGCCGGGTTGGATGGGTCTTGCAGGAACCTGGTCTAGTGATGAGCAGCTCTGCCCATGGCAGGGGATTAGAACAACATAAGCTTTAAGGTCCCTTCCAACCCAAACCATTTTGTGATTCTATTACCACACATTCATATATTATACATGACACTGATGGCACAGAGTACTGGAAAGATCAGGAAGTTCCTGTGCTGAATAAGAGAGAAGCTATGGAGTTCTCAGTAAAAAAAGCGCCACTTTCCTTTCTTCATTTAGTTACAGCAAGATTAAAACTAACTTCTTTTTTTATATTCTGTTCAGACTTGTGGCCTTTGCAACTTGCATGATGGCTCATGTCCCTTTCCTTATGGAGTCATAGCCTAGGGTGCACAGCACTTAGAAAGCTGCCTGGGTCTTAGTATCTTGGAGGCCTTATAGGAGTCTGTTCTAATGAATAGTCTGGGATTGATTTTCCAAATGGAAAACACATGTTCTATTGTTTATGTCCATTTGATGATATAAATCATATTTGTTTCCACCAAAGTGAAGTCAAAACAAAAGATCAAAAGTAAAATCAGTATTTTTCTCCTCTTAACTCATGTATGGGAATTGCCATACATGTTGACCAGTTGAGTCACAGAATTATAAGGCAAAATCTTGATTTGAGCTTCAAAAAAAAGCCCTACTGACTTCAAAGAGAATGCTTCTTGAATTAGGATAGAAGAGGGATTACTGAGTCTCAGTAAAACATGGCTTCAGCAGAAATAGTGCAGTCCTGATTAGAAATTTGCAAGATTGAAAACTGGGAAAGGCACAGATTACTGGATCATACAGCCAGTCTGAAACAGCCACTGAGAATACAGTTCCCTGCTGCACATTCAGTGCTTCTTCTCAGAGGACTCAGATGTCTTCTTTCCAAGGAAATATATTTCTATACACTATTTCAGGTCTGCCTGTACACATGCACATGCACACATGCATGAGTTGAAAATCCTTGCCTTCATGTCAGAGTATTTTCAAAAGTGAAATGCTAATGTGCTCTTGTTGTTTTAAAGAGATTATCTCTGGCATGTTTTCTCTAGGGCTCAGAAACTGTCACATTTCCATGTGAAAGATGGCTTGCAAAGTCTGAGGATGATGGCGAGACTGTCAGAGAACTGGTACCCTCTGATATTTATACTGAAAAACTCATGAAGGATGGGACACTCAAGAAGATACGGGAAGAAGTTGATGATGCATTAGAAGGTAATAGAGTTCCTGGAGTGGGTAGGGACCTATTTCTCTGATTTTTTTGAATAAAACATTTGGATGTGTGGTTCAGGTAAATGTAATGCAGGTACAAATGTTCAGTTTTTTCCCTCTTCCTCTTCTCTGGCCACTTGTAAAACTGAAAAACTTCTGTGCAGTAACATCATTATTTTCCTGTGGAGCTTTTAAGAACCTGTCACAGACACCCTTTCACACAGACATAGTTTGCATGTCTCCTCGGATGCCTAATAAAATATCTTGTCTTCCAGGTCATGTTAACATACTTGTTTGCCCAAGTCACCTGTCCTGTGCACTCTGCCCATTCCTTTACTACCCTATCAATCTGATTTATGCTCCTCTTTCCTCCCAAAGTTGCTTTTGCCTACTGCCTTTCAGGTACAAGTGGACACCCTTTAGAAATCTGGATCTGTGCAGCCACTTTCACCTCATTAAAGTGCCTCTGGGGAAGAAAATAAATTTGTATTCAGTTCTGAACCCACCTTAGAAAGTGTTGACATTTAGTGTTTGGCCCTACTGGTGCTGAAACAAGGGAATAAGGACTGAATTTTCATCCCTAACTTGTTGCTTCTGTATATGCTCAGCTGCTGGTACCTCTTTTATTTCCACTAAAAACAGTCCTCCCACCCAAAGCTCAGTCTGCCCTTTAGAGAGGCCATGAGCCTTCCTTGTCCTGAGCAGAGCTGCCATTTTCATTCTTGATTCTTGCATCTGGCAACAGAGAAAATAAATTTTTCACTGTTTCTTTTCTCTCAGAGTCTAATTTGCATTTACAGTACGAGATTGTCAAAGTGGAATTTATTTGGATTGTTAGTGTCTTCCTTTGCCAAGGGAAGAGGTGTCTTCTGGAAAGAAGGCAGGAGCTTTTGCAGTATGACCTTAGAAAAGAGAGATTATGAACTACATGGTAGCTCATGGGAGATTTTTTTTCCTGCAGAGGCAAATTCAATTTTAATATCAATTAGTAAGTTGCATGACACTGGCATAGATTTTCCAGAGAAGTGGCAGATGCCCCACCCCTGGAAACAGTCAAGATCAGGTTGGGTGGGCTCTGATAAACTGGTCTAGTGGAAGGTGTCCCTGCCCGTGGCAGCAGGGTTGGACTAGATGGCCTTTAAATGTCTCTTCCAGATCAAAGAAATTGATGATTCTATGATTCAATGACTGCTAGATGCCTGCATGACATTTTCCCTAACGTACTAATTTCCATTGCTTTACCTTGGATCGGTTACCAAGTGTTAACTAACCAAGGTGACTAATGTTTCCTTCTAAAGGCAAAACCTTAAAACAAGTTTAACAATCCATGGAATAGAAATTTTGGATAACTGAAGGTTTCTTTTGGCTGGGAGTTCGGGCTAAGTTTGGAAACTTCTGCTTTTGATATAAAATATCTGGGATGACAATTATATCTTCTGCTTCTTTATGAGTCCTCATACATCTTGGGCAGTGACACAATGTAAATGACAGTGATGGCAAATCACCTTGTGTTACTCTGAGGATCATCATTTTTTTTTTTTATAAGAGACTGTTTCAGGCCTGAAGGTCTCTAGAACTGGGAAACAAAAGCCAAAGAGGGATGCATTGACTAATTAGACTATATGCACTGCTTGTTTCATTACTAATGTATCAGTTGCCTCTCAAATACAAAGCTATAGGTCTGTAGGACATATGTGAAAAGACAAACCAGAAAACCCAGCATTGCACCTAGCCTGATTGATGTTCTCAGGTGGTAATTCTGATCCATTTCTTAGAGAAATCGATGGAAATCTTTCATGGATGACAAAGCAGAATAGGCTCTTTTTTACTATGAAAGAAAAAAAGGCAATATAGCAATTTTCTTCAGTGTTGTTAATGTACAAAGAATCCTAACTAAGACTTTGTGCCTCTTCCTCATTTGCATTGCCCTGGGATTTGCAAAGTATTCTCCATAGCTCATATGCCACCAGGGTAATCAGAGACTTGTGCAGTCCCTCATTGTTTTCTTGGAGAGTATGCTTTCAGTAACTGTTTGTTTTCCTCATGTAATTGGGAAAAAAGTACCAAAATAAAAACAGAGGTATTTAACAGGTTTAGGAAAGCACATTACTAAAGGCTTGATGAGGTTTTATTGTCTCAGCATTAAGCAAGCTAAAGAGAAAGGGTATTTAAACAGAACAGCTCCAACACTTCCTTAATTAAATACTGTCTCAGCAGAAATACCCAGAAACCTGTTCTCTTTCTGTTTGAGGAATTTACAGAGATACATGCCATTAACTCGTGTAGTAATTTGCACATCCAAATCCCTGGAGTTTATGGAAGATGGAGTATTAAGGATTCACAGCACTGAATGACTCGTTCTCAGATCTATGTCCCTTGACATATGAAAAGGTGCTGAGTTCCCTGATTTGTATTGACTTCCCATCCAGTAATAACCATAATGATTCATTGCTTTTTAAACTGTGAACTGTGCGATCAAAGGAATGCACAGGCATTGATTAGATGGAGGAAAGCAAAGTCAGCAAATTGCAGCCCAGGTGATCATTTGGATTTCCAGTTTCTCCAATCTTTGGATCAGAAACCTGAAAGGAAGAGCCATATGGGATTTAAAACCTCCAAGAACTGAGCAATGAGCAGAAAATCTGGGGTACATCTTCTTAAGTAAATTTGGTATCTAACATAGATCTTAATAGATTACCTGACCTGAAATCATGTCTCTGTTTCTTTCTGCAGTTCACACATACAAGATCAGCGTGTTCACTGGAGATATCTATGGTGCTGGGACAGATGCTAATGTTTTCCTAAATATCTATGGAGATATGGGGGACATGGGAGAGAGAAAACTCAGTAAATCTGAAACAAACTTCAACAAGTTTGAAAGAGGACAGGTACAAATGCAGTGGGTTAATAACACTTTCCATTTCTCAGTCTTTAACCTAACAAGTCCATGACTGTCTTTATAGACTGCATTTTCCTATGAGAGATGAATTGATTGATTCCATTTGCCACATTATTATCTCTTAAAATGCTTTGTATGGATTGTCAGCTGGGTACAATAACTGACAGCCACTGCAGTAAGTGGGCAGATGTTTCTGTGAAGTCACTGTTGGACAAATTTTGAGCTTGGCCTATATAAAGTGGCTTGAAGTGTTAGCTGCATATTTGGGATCACACAAATCCTGGGTCCTCGCATTCCCATAGCCTCTGTGCAACAGATTTCCGTGTACATGGTATGTTTTGGAATTCACAACAAAGCATTATTATTGATGGCACCTAAACTGTGGCTGTGTTTGAAAAAATCACACCAAAAGTGATGCTCTCTGGTCAGTCCATGAGTCACATTCACAGACTCACATGGAGATACTCAGATGTAATGACGGCAAAGATTGTCTTATCTGGATTGTCCATAGGAATCTAAGTGGATTAGAAATAGAGGTATACTTAAACTTAAAAGTCTTCCAGGCTTTCAATATTCTAACTGGTTGTAAATGTGATGTTTTTGCATCTCCCCTCCTAGCAGAAGCAGGCCTCTGCAGAACAGTTTCAGCTTACAGATATGCCTCTATAGCTTGCTGCAAAGTTTTTTAGCCAAGCACCATCTTGTGATACGGAATTTAAACACGCACCATGCTCTGCAGTCTCTGTTTTTTGCTTTTGCTCAGTAGCTGATCTTTTGAGAGTTTGTTAACAGAATCAACTGCTCTTGAACACTCTACAGGAGGATACATTTACTATAGAGGCTGTGGACCTTGGCATTTTATACAAGATCAAGATTCGTCACGACAATAGTATGTTCAGTCCTGACTGGTTTCTGGAAAAGGTAGAGATTTTGGATGAGACAACAGAGGAGTCATTCGTTTTCCTATGTGAACGCTGGCTCTCTAAGAAGAAAGAGGACAAAAAGATAGAGCGTACTCTTTATGAACAGGTACAGTTATGGCTCAAAGCAGATCCCACTGCTACTAATAAAATTAAAATTATTTGATATCTTGTTGAAGTTCAAGACAGCTCATTAGGGGCTGAGGGTTTTTTTGGCTTATCCAAAATGAATTGCTGATTTTCAGACAAGAGCTGAAAGTAAGGCCACTCTCAGCCCATTATCTGTAATTTGCTATTTCAACAGAAAAATCAAGGAGCTTAAGTGGAACTCTTCAGATGAGAGTTCAGTACCTTGCTGATACACAGCAGAGTATATTTTCCTACTGCTGTGCTCACAAAGTAGGTCAGTAATGGGTCCCACTATTCATAGTCCTCAAGCCAAAATACAGGGTCATTTGACTTCATCCTTACTGTATTGGATGGGCTTATCTCTTCAGCTCCTTTTTCCACCACAGCCAAACATAAAAAGTCTGGTCTCTTTGCTACCACTCAAAGCACAAAATGCTTTTTAGTGAAATGCCCTTTCTACTTGCACACTCTCTATTGCTTATCAGCCTAATAGAGCTAATTGGAATTCGAGGTACATGCTCTAATTAAAATTAGCAAGCAAGATTAATAGACTTCTCTTTCTTCTATACATTGAGACATAATAAAGCAGCTGATTATAATTCCATTGTATTTAAGGAGTCAACTTTGCAAAATAGTCACTTTTTAATTGACAGTCACCACTAAAATTATCATCAGTGAAATTGCGCCAGACTCATCCTGAATACAACAGAGCAGATGTAAGAGGAGTTATGCCATGGATGAGTGTTGCCATATGCTTTCTCCTAAAACTGCAGCAGACAATGCTATGAATGCTTGTGGTCACACTTACCCCATTGCTCATATCAATTCACAATGAGGAAAACTAATCACTCATGTGTTGTTTTTTTTAAATTATGTGACTGTGTGGTAAGAGCCTCATTTATTAGACAATGACATCAAACGCATTGTCAGTAACTCTTCAAATACAATAGATGTTTCATATCATTCAGCTTTACAGTGCTCTGCCTCTTATGCTCTTTCACCTGTATTAAATGAGCAGCCCTGCCAGGAAGGACTTGGAGGTGCTAGTGGATGAGAGGCTGGACATGACCCAGGATGTGCCCTGGCAGCCCAGAAACCACACATGTCCTGGGCTCATCCCTGGCAGTGTGGGCAGCAGATGGGGGCTGGATTCTGCCCCTCTGCTCCACTGAGGTTACCTCCAACTGCAGTGTTACCTCCAACTCTGGGATCCCTAGTACAGAAAGGACATCGACCTGATGGGGACCAGAGGAAGGCAACTCAGTTGATTAGAGGCATGGAGCTCCTTTCCTATGAGGAGATGCTGAGAGAATTGGGATTGTTCTTCCTAGAAAAGAGAAGACTTTGGGGTGGCCTATTTGCATCTTTCCGGTACCTGAAGGGAGCTTACAAGAAAGATAGAGAGGGACCATTGACAGCATGTAGTGACAAGACCAAGGGTAATGGATTCAAAATGACAGAGAGTAGGTTTAGGTTAGATATTAGAAAAAAAATCCTGACTGTGAGAGGAGTGAGGCACTGACACAGGTTGCCAAAAGAAGTTGTGGATACCCTGTCTCTCGAAGTGTTCAAGGTCAGACTGGACAAGGCTTGGAGCAATCTGGTCTAGTGGAAGGTGTTCCTGCCTGTGTCAGGGTGTTGGAATTATTTCTTCTTTAAGGTCCCTTCCAACACAAAATGTTCTATGATTCTATGAAATTTGAATCTGCTCCATCCATCTGAATTTCCTGTGGCTACTGCTCACACTAGTGGCAGAGGAAAAGTCACAACTCACCATCAAAGTCTGTTTCTTTTATTATAACACACATATAAAATGGCTTGTCAAGGTTACCAGCGAAGTAAATTGATTTGACCTACACTGAACAAAAAGGTGCCCAGGGAACTACAGGGATTTCTTCTCATGTTGCTCTTGGAGGTACATGGGAACAACTGACAACACTTGAGCACTCAACCTTGTTACACTCCTGTATATGCCTTCCAACTAGAGCTACGATGGTGAGCGAAACAGCCTGGATGACTGCTCTCTCAGCACGTCAAGTCAGGATAGCAATGAGAACCCGAACGAGCCAAGAAAATCCCGCTTGGTCAAGGCGGCAGAAGAAGGCTCATGTGAGTGAGCATGCATGAGTGTTTGGTTGCAT